TGTCTAGTATAATTGTGCATATTTCAATATTCAAGAATATTTTTTATCATTATTGATATGGCTGACGAGGTAAGTGTAGAGCAAGAATAAAAATTTTATGGGTTATTTATATATTCAAGGCAACCAATCTAAATATGCATGTGGTTCATAAAATCTTAAGCACACGCGAGTAACAGATTCTCTTCTCTAGATGCCAAATATTTCTAAAGCTATGGTATGACCGCTATAAAATAATCTATCTTAGAATCTGTCGATTTAGTATCTTTGTTTTACAACTGCGGTCCTTAAACACTAAATTGATTTGTTTATTGGAGATTACAGATTCAAAATGTATTATATGACTTGATTAAATAGTCATCTTGTAGTTTTAATATATCCTATTCCAGTAGATAAGCACAAAAATGTAAAAATCCCTGACGAATGAGTATGAAGGAAAAAATAGAAGAAACGACAAAGGTTACTTGAGACAGACACAACCGCAATGGAATATGGTATATAATAAGTTTTTTTTAAGCTTAAATATTTGTATGTATGAGTAATGAGGATATTTTTGACAAACCACGACTGTTTTCAATAATAAAAAGGGACAATAGTTGAAAGAGTTCTTGTCTTATACATTTTGATTCGTAATTGAAACCAATTATGAACGAATGTAGAAGCAAAAACTAGTTCGAGCTATGAGTGACACTACTCGTAGTACGTTTCGATGAGCCGTCACTTGCAAAAGCATCGAAATACTCATTCAAACGTGGTCTCTGTGAAAAAATCTGATAATTAACAAAAAGCTTATGAAAATCATACTTAACCTACATTCAGTTGTTACTAGGGTAATAAAAAAATATAAATATTTTTTTCATTCTATCTTTACTAGCGATTCAACCTCGCTTCGCTCAAGTTCGTCACTAGGTATGCATTGACGCTTTTTATGGAACAGGTAGACCATATTACATACATAGGTAGGCCCCATACAAACTCTCATGCCCCTTTTCAACCCCTTAAGGGCATTATTTTCAAAATAAAAACTGTTCTACGTCCTTCCCAGGGTCTCAAACTATCTTCATAACAAATTTCACCTAAATCAGTTTAGTGGATTTTTAGTTTATCCATTACAAACAAACATAAAAACATAAAAAAAAAATTGTCTTTAAAATAGTAGTTTGAAATAGGTTTATTGTGTTTCAGAAGATTAGGACGTAGATTTCACTCCAGACATTTATGTATTGTTATTCTCTATAGTAAACCTTAAATATTGAACTTGTTCCAAAATATATATTTCACTTCATAAACTAAACTAATATTTTCTTGTTCTGTACAATGAATGATGTTTATTGGTTGTTCTATACATAAATAAGCTCTTAGAGATGTTAATGAAGTTTAGAGGGGCGATAATTGAATGGTTTTGTATGAAAGCTTGTGAAAGGATAATTTATTCTATAGAAAAATATTCTCAATATTAAATATGGACTACGATAATATTACAGTTGTTTCTACTATTAAAATATTTATGCTTACTAAGAAATAATCTTTACGTTTATGACAAATCTGTTACTTGGAATGATCAACATTCTTAAGTGATCTGTATACATCTATACTGTATACATATAATAAAATTCTAACTAAGTCAAATCTGTACATTAAATATTTTTTAGAAAATCTTATTGAAATAGACATTATTATCGATACAGAGGCCGAATCTATAGTTTTTAGAATTTTTGTCTGTCTGTCTGTCTATCTGTCTGTCTGTTACCGCATCACAGAAAAACTACTGGACGGATTTTGATGAAATTTGGTATGGTCATAGCCGATTATCCGGGTCAACATATAGGATACTTTTAGCGCAGAATATCTCATTTCTGAGAAAAAATACAAAAACTGGTTAGAATAAAAAAAACGATGATACTATATAGATTTAAGCAAGTTAACTTACTAAATATATCAAAATCTATTAAAAATATCTAATCTTGAAAAAGTATATCAATAGCACTATCTTATTCATTAAAAAAATATTTTAATGAATATTTATTATTGTATTATTTAGATATTTGTTAATAGAAGTCGCAATGACAGTGTCTTTAAAATACGTAGTTTTAATTCCAAAAAAATGAATGTACAAATTCGACCTTTTTATGTTTTTATTAGAATTACTACTAAATTACTCGCAGCCCCGTCCGTGTTCAAATTATCAAAAAACAATCTTTTGGCCTTTATAAATTAGATACATCATGGCTTAAATATATTTTGGATTTTTTTTATGAAATACACATTATTATCGCTAACAGAAGACGAACCTATAGTTTTAAGAATTTTTGTCGGTCTGTCTGTGACCGCATCACAGAAAAATCACTGGAGGGATTTTGAAGAAATTTGGCATGGTAATAGCTGGTTCTCCAGGTCAACTAATATACTAATACGAGTATACTAATATATAAAACCTAAGAATTTGGTTTTGGCCATATGAACGCGGGCTGAGCCGTGGGCAATGCTAGTAACTAATATACCTACTATAATTATCACCATCTATCTATCTATATAAATAAAAAAATAATGTTTTTTAATATGTTAGTACTCTGTGCGTTCATAAATAATTCTAATATAGAAAAATGATAAAAAAATCCTAAGTGATGAAATTTTTGGTGAGTTATTTTGCGACCTCCTGCGAAAAAGTCTTTTCTTTTTATATCTGTCCTCTATGCGTTCCTAATCAATGCAGCTACTATCTAAATAAATAATATTCTTGACGATATATGGATTTCTCACAGCAACAGATTAACAAAAAATACACATAATTCATCCATTTTTTTATCTCTACCTATCTACTTAACTATCTATCTATATTTTAATATCTCTATCTTGCACGACTTCCTCTCAATGCGAGTGTGATTAAGCTTTAATCCACCACACTGTACAAAAGCGAGTAGGAAGACCCATTTCTTTCAAAAACTAGTTAGGTTATTTGAAGCATGAAGGCTTCCTTTTTTATGTTTTTTTTCTTTAACCATATTATTCAATACATAATAATAAATCACTTAATATATTGAGATAAAAGTATCCCGTATCTTTCAAACAAAAACGCAATGCAAAAAATTACGTTGATACAATTTTAATAAAAATGATTAATATTTATATTGAAGGATAATAGAATATAGGTCTTGTAAGATTAAACTGTGATATTCAAGCAAACAATAACACTCTTCAACGGCCACCAAAAAGGCAAAAATCTATAACATATAGATAGCATAGTATAATAATAAGTGAAAGCCAATATTTTGTAACGTAATTCTTGAAGCCGCGTTAGTTCTAATTAAGCCTTATATGAAATGATTATTTGATACACAGTTGTGAAATAGATATTTTTACCTCTAGTTTTCCTTATATCGTAATAGAATATTACATTAACACTCGAAGCTTGTACATACGTAATGTGTTGAATGTAGTGATATAAGAATTTTCACCTTTTATATTCATTTATCTCCTACATTTTATTTAAATTTCCTGGTACTTTTACTATGATGAAGAAGAATTATTTTAATGTGTTCGTCTTCTCAGGCCTTTATAACATCCCACTGCAGGGCACAAAACTAACTTTAACACAAGGGAGTTTAGGCCACCACGCTGGCTAAGTGCTGAGCGGATTTCGCATGACGTTCATAAAACTTGCTAGGTTCTCTCCGACATAGAGGTTCCCGCACGATGTTTTCCTTCACCGTAAGACAAGTGGTAATCATGTTGGAAATAATTTGCCCATGGAAATTTAAAATGTGCGAGACCCGGGATTTGAACCCGCTTCACTCTGTTTCCCAAGCGAGCGCGTTACCACTGCCTTAATATTTCATATTCACCTTTGTAGATAAGAAAAATCTCTTTTTAAAATATATATTTTTTAAGTTTTAAGCGTCGATATAAATCATATCATCATCTAATGAAATAAACACATCAAAGCTTTAAAAAGCTACTGTAAATAATGTGTTTCTGTTATAGAATACTATTTTTATAGTAAATCTTGGTGAACTTTAAAGCTCTACGTAGAAACTTGTGAAATGTGAAGAAGATATCATTTTGTAAAATAAAATGCATTCAATGTAAGATAATATAGTTCTACTTAAAGTCATTTTCTTAATATTTATGAAGAGATTTTGAATTTTTTTATGATTGCCTCATAAACCTGTTACTTACGACTTCTGCCATCAAGATTTCAGGCTTACCTGTAAAAAATATACAAAGTTAATTACGTAAAGGATAATTTTATACAAAATTATTACTAAAATACAATTTCATTATACTGATACAAAAAAGACATGAACATATAATAATACTAGCATTGCCCGCGGCTCCGCCCGCGTTCAGATGACAAAAACCAAATTCTTAGGTTTTAATATTAGTTTACTCTTACATTGCAGTTTTTGAATTTTTTCTCAGTAATGAGATATTTCCCACAGTAAAAAGTACCAGCTATCATCATACTAAATTTCATCGAAATCCCTCCAGTGAAAATACTTTACGACCTATTCTCATACCTACCAAATATACAAAAAATATTAAAATCAGTCGAGCCGTTTTGGAGGAGTGCGACCACAAACACCGTGACACGAGATATTTATATACATATATTAGATTCCATGAATATAAAAACCAAAGAAAAATGTATACGTAAGCCATGTTATTAATATTTTTGCCATTTTTAAATAAGGAGAAAAGGAGGAGGGTTGATAAAGGCCATTTTTCGCCCATCAGCCGCTCGATTTGAAATTTATTTTATTTAATAGTATATGTCATGGCAAGTGTAGAAAACAATTATTTTTAATGAAACTTCTTTAATTAATGGGATAAATAAAACAAATAATTATAAGGTTATTATGAACATTTATTAATATAACCATTGCTACTGTACATTCTAACACAAAAAATGAGTTGTAAATGCAAGATTACAATGAAAAAGGTTTATTTTTACTATTATTGCAATATTTGAAATATGAAAAATAATCAATAATTAGAAATAATTAGAAAGTTTCAGGCACATTGAGCATGTATGTTTTTTTAGTTTTCCTTATTGGTTTCTTCATCTGAATCACTACTGGACCATCCTTCAGCGGCAGCGTCTTGTAGTGTATAGGCATATTCATCTCTTGGTTTCTTGATTTCGGTTGAATTGTGGCGCCAATAACCTAAAAACCATAATACAGAGGCAACATGTGCGCAACACCCTACGACTCTTGCACCCACTTTACATTGACAGTACCATTGAATGTTTGTGATGTTGCTTTTATCTGTTTTTATCCAAACATTATAGTTTTTGGAACTTGTGTGCCGTGATCGTAACTGTACTCTAACAACATTTGTTCAAAAATATAATTAAAATCAGACATGGTTATGCCCATGAGAGTATAATAATCAGACTCGGAAAGCTGTCCTGGTGTGTCAAAATCAAGGCCTTTTTTCTTTGCTACTTCTCTAATATTGTTTAAAAGACTTTTTATATCTTTTTCACACATTAATGTATTCTCACTTACAGGGCGTAAAACTTGCAAAGCCAATTCACTGAATATCAATCCGGTAATATGAGTTTTACAACATCTTTTTCCCGAAGAAATATATATTCCAGTTTCGATAAATGCTTGAGTTCGAGCTGCTTTCGGTACAGTCATGAGGTAGCTTTTACGTTTACATATTATACAGCACGTATTAGAGTTGTGACAACGAGGTATTGATAAATATATATTTGGTCTCTTCGAGGTGTCGTCGGCAGTACTTGTTGAAGCATGAACTCTTGTTGTCACTATGGAAGATGAAATAGGAATATTTTGAGCTCGAACCACACGGAATGCGTATGATCTGCATTTCGAACACAACTTAGAAACCACTCTGTAGATCACAATTTTTAGAATTTCTAAGTATCGATAAGATTTTTCTATTAGAACAGGTACGAAAAGCACTATTTGTTTTTTGCCACGTTTTACAACAATCACACTGTCTTCCAGGCATTATTATCTATTAAGTTTTACAACAAACAATCGCAACAACAACCGCAGAACACTATTTCGATAGCACACTACGTAAATACTTTTTGAGCGCAATATAAATCACGTATGAACTTGTTCTCGCAACGCACTGAATACTTTCGCGCGTAATATATTTTTTTCTTATTGTGTGAAGCGCACAATGAACCAAAATAAAATAGTACTCATTTACAAGCTCATAAAGAGTAGTATCAATGTGAGTCAAAGTTTTTGTGGTTCATGGAGCGCTTCATTATAAAATTATAATTTAAAGATAAAAAAAACGACAAAAATATACAAAAAAGGCGAAACACCCTGTTTTTGAACAATGATATCTGTAACTTAGTATAATATTTATCACTTAAATGATTATGAATTAAAAAATATATGTCTTCAACTATACATAAATATATAAAAATAGCCGGAAATCGAAACTTTTTTTTTTGAGATTGTGATGGGCGGAAAATGGCCCATATCAACCCTCCTCCTTTAATTTGGGTTTTTGTTTGCTGTGTGCATGTTATGCGATATCTTAGGCAATAATTGAAAGAATTTTAATGTATACATAAAGGAGTGATCCTCAAGAGTGGTCCAATAAGGAATTTAGAAAAAAACTGCAAGATAATTACTGCTAAATAGATTCTGAAGTAAATATTTAAACATTTTCAGCATTCGTGGTAACATCTGTTCATTTTAACCAACACTAATAAAATTTCATTCGAAAAAATTGCGTTCAAGCTGAATGCAGTTTTGCTATCGACAGCTACAAAGAAAATAAACAGATTAGTGTTCGAAAGCTTTCGATGGATTTAGCAAACGGTTTAAGCTATCGATATAAGCGTCTGAGGTAACGAACGTAATTTATCTATAAATACAAAGGGACAGTCGTAAGCTCTATCTAATCAGGGAGTAATTATTGCTCATTAACTAAATTACTATTAATATTTTGAACTACTAAGTTTAGTGTTGTGGTGTATTTTTCTCTGATGTAATTATACTTTATGATGTTATTATTAAAATATAACTGAAGAGTTTGTCCGTTCGTTTTTTCTCTTGTTTAAATGCGCTTATCTATAGACTAGCTGACCCGACAGACGTTGTCCTGTCTACACGTCTTTAATTTGAAAATTTCAAACTTTTTTTAATAAGCTAAAACATACTGGAACATTTTGATGAAAATTATTATTCAAATTGTGAATCTAAACCATTCTCAGATCCCCTTGAACACACACAAAAAATTTCATCAAAATCGGTCCAGTCGTTTGAGAGAAGTTCAGTGACATACACACTCACAGAAGAATTATATATATAAAGATTTACTGGTTCTGTTTAAAAAAATGTTTTTCCATTTGATAGTCAATTTATTGAGCAAGATTATAGGGTATTTTATATCACATAAAGACTGCTGGGCACGAGCCTCTCATCAATGCGAGGGGTATCAGGCCATAGTCCAAAGTCGATGCGGAGTACTACAAAATTAAAAGACTCGGGTGGAGCTGCGAGAAAACCTTAGTAAATATATTATATTTAGCTCGATATATAAAGCAAGATTCTCGTGGGAAATATAGGATTTTCTGTTACAGTTTAGTAGTGCGACTCTTTTTTCTTATTTTTTCAATTTTAACAAACTACAAAAACGTAAAATACTTATAGACTATAGTTTAGACTATTTAGTTTTTATGCAGGTAAGCTAGGCAGTGTCTATAGTCCCCCCCAACGTGCGTTCACCTTGTCGTGGTGGGGGGGCTCAGTAGTGCCCGGCAACCCAACCGGGCGCGAAGCTAAGAAACGCACAGGGAGGTGGCCCACTTCGGTGGGCGGTGGAAGGTGGCCCTCTTCGGAGGGCGGTGTACCATGCGGGTTGCTCCTGGTACTTCTCTGATAGCAGAGTGGACCTTGGAGCAACCCCGTGGATGTCGTGGTCTCCTTTGGCAGACCTGCCGTCGGGGCGTCGTAGTTGAATGCGTAAGCGATCCTGCGACGCCCCATTAAGACGGGGGAAGGCTTTGTTGGGTTTTAGTGGGTAGTACTGGCTTTGCCGGTGAGTCCCACACCTCGTGCGTAAATGCATTTCCCAACGTTAAAAAAAAAGGTAGTGTCTATAGCAAATAATTATACGAAATTAACATCTTCGAAGAAATATTACGAATTAAGACTTTTATGTACATAAAATTAGTTTTTGTCCGCGTAATAAATGGGATGGGGCTCAAGTCCGATATTTCTAAAATTTTATGGAAATCTGTTAAGCGATTTATGCTTGAAAAGGTAATATACAGAGTTACATTAATATTTATAATATTAGTATGAAATGACTGATTTGCATTAAAAAGTTTATTTACCTCGATAACAAGTCAATGCTCCTTCAGTCTTAGGGAGATGGAAAATAAAATTATATTATGAATTGAAAACTTCTTGTTTTATTCATTCATTTTTGCTGATAAAGCTATTAAAGCTTCACCTTTTTTTTTATAACACTTTATTGCACACGAAAATTGTACGTATAATAAAATAAAAACAATTAAAGAGATGTGCAAAGGCGGCCTTATCACTAAAAGTGACCTCTTACAGGCAACCAATAGACAAAGATACATGAAAATAATCTTCAACTATCTAGGTAACAGAATGTTTGAACGCGATTTCGATTTTCACCCATTTCAAAACTTCAAATGGAACTGAAATTTTACACATTTAACAAGGACCGATAGCTTAAAAACCTAAAAAATACTCTTATGATAAAACGAACTAAAAAGTAAAAAATATTTTTAGTATCAGATAAAGTGACAAACAACAAAATTAATGTTATTGTGAAAAAGGCGTGGGGTGTTCGATATCAGGTGCTATACATATTCCATTGGTACGATTTCTAAAAGTAGAGTTAGAATATTATAAATATTGTACAAAACACCCCACGCTTTTTTCACAATAAAATTATTGTAGACAATGGAATTACGCTGTCTGCGTCACGAGCTAACTATTTGTTGCACAGATCATTAATAAAATAATATTTAAAAATGACTGACTGAATTATAACTGATATTTAGTTTTAATTAAAAAAAAACTTTTTGCAGTTTATCCTGAGTCTTTCACAAAAGTATTTTATTATATTGATTCATCCATGCTTTCCCTTTTATTATATAAATATCTCAGTATCCCTTCCAAACTTAACTTAGTTACCAATCTATAAATCTTCATCGATATTCTTCTTTATTTTCGAACTCGCGACTACTATGCCACCAAGAAATGATTAAAGTAGTAGTAGTAGAGTAGGTTTTTATTAAGAATCTTATTCTGATTCTACCTGTACTTGAGACTTGAGCTTAAATTGTAGACCGATAAACACATTCAAAATTTTCAGTACAAAAATATTTAAAACCAACCAATCCACAACATTTATATTACCTATGGGTTAAAATGTAGTTATTATTTTCTGAAACGAGTGATGCCTAATAGAATATTCTGCATTAGAGATTTTAATTTAAGAAAATATTCACAATCTAAGAATTTCGTTTTCATTGCCGGCCTCTAGCGACCTCACTAGAGTGGCGCATAGAACATATTATTGTTTGATTCGTATTGTAATATAATATTATCGATCATTAACAGTACAGAATATAAAACTTGCACGTGATTACGCATGTATGTATAAACTCCACGCTATGGCAACGAGATCGACAGCAGAGTGCCAAATGCCGCAATCCAGGCATATCTCTCATGCTTCAACTACTACCATCATAATCTATTAATCTGACTTAAAAGGAAACTATTTAGTATTATTTATTAGAAACTTACCCTCGCTTCGCTGAGTGCGTCAAGCAATACATACAGGGAGCGCCACCTTTTGGTTAATTTTAATAATAAGAGTAGCCTACGTCAATCAGTTCAGACGTTTCAGCGTGTAGGAGTAACAGACTTACAAACACACAGTGTGACTACTAGCTTCAATTTAATTTTCACTTTAATTTTTGTTACGTTACGCAAAAGTGTATAATAATCGCGCACCATTATAATGATCTTTTAAATATGGTTTATTATGTAATACAAAAAATAAAAAGTTATGTTTGTGTGTTTGAACTGAACTGGCATATTTTTGAATTCCTAGATATAATTCAATACCATATACAGTATTTTATTTTCACGTATTGCAATACGATATTAATATGAAAACTTGCTGGAAATTTTATTGAAAACATATTTTCTTGGAAGTCGAACTACATCTAATCAATCCTTTTCCATGTCCGTTTCAAATGCGTATCGGATTAATATTTTTAATACTTTCTGAGGCTAATCCTGTAACGTGTATATTGTATATCTTGAATATTGGATGATAGAAGATATTGATTGCTATAGTCATTTCCCATTTAAATGTAATCTTTCAATTATTTTTTTCTTAGAGAGCTTCTAGATTAGATATCATCTCACCCAGAATTCTACTTGTAGGATTTTTTTTGAGATTTCGGAATATATCAGTCAGTAGGTTTTGGCTTTTATATATTATACATACATTTAAGTGTTCCCAATTAGAATTGTATTCTAAGAATTCTTATGTTTATTAGAAATGTTTAGAAGAGACGACTAGTGAGAGTTAAGGCGCAGGACCGACGGCTTTACATGCTCTCTGAGACGCGGGGGTGTAACATCGCCAACTTCCT